TGGCAGAACAAGGAGCAATGGTCTCAAGTTGTGGTGGGAGAGGTCCAGGTTGGATATTAGGAAAAACTATTTCCCTAGGAGGGTGGGGAAGCACTGGAATGGGTTACCTAGGGAAGTAGTGGAGTCTCCATCCCTAGAGGTGTTTAAGTCTCAGCTTGACAAAGCCCTGGCTGGGTTGATTTAGTTGGAATTGGTCCTGCCTTGGGCAGGGGGCTGGACTTGACCTTCTGAGGTCTCTTCCAGCTCTATGGTTCTATGATTCTATGATTCTAAGAAGCCCTGATTTTCTACAGTACAACGTCAGTTTACTTGCACCAGAACTCGCGGCCAGTGTAGACAGGTGGCATGTTTTTGCGCAAGAGCGGCCATTTTCACACGAGAACATGCCAGTGTAGACACAGTGCAAAGACAGAGTAGGAGCAAGTGCAGCCAGTCCTGTGGCTTCTTTAACTCGCCCTTCGAGCCCTGAGAGCAAAAATAGGAAAAATGCAGAGGAGCAGTTCCACTGTGGAAAGTCATGATAGCAGGAGGGAGCCCAGTGAAACCCACGGCCAGAGCTGTCCAAACCACCTCCCCTCGGTGGGGGGGGGGGATGTTCCATAGCGGGAGAGCGAGTCTGGCCCATGGTCCCACGCAACACACTGCTGTCACACCAGGGAGGTTTGCTGGGGTCTCTGGTTCTGTCCCCAAACACAGTCCAGTCCCAGCTTCCCCTCCAGGTCTCACTGATTTTCTCTTCTGTGTTAGCTCCTGAAATCTGTATAGAAGCTCCAAGGGACGGTGCATGATGCCAGCCGACAATCACACCTATTCTGGCCCTGCAACCTTCATCCTGACCGGCATCCCTAGCACAGAGGGGTCTCATGTCTGGATCGCCATCCCCTTCTGTCTCATGTACTTTGCAGCTCTTCTTGGGAACTCTCTCCTCCTATATATCATACTAAGGGAGCGAAGCCTCCATGAGCCCATGTACCTTTTCCTCTCCATGCTGGCCACAGCTGATCTGCTGTTATCCACCACCACAGTGCCCAAGATGCTGGCCGTTTTTTGGTTCAGAAAAGGGGAAATTTCTTTTGCTGCCTGCCTCACCCAGATGTTCTTCATCCATGTCAGTGTTATCATCGAGTCAGGCATCCTGCTGGCCATGGCCTTTGATCGGTACGTTGCCATCTGTGACCCCCTGATTTACACTGCCCTGCTCACCAAGCCTGTGATCGGGAAGATCGGGCTGGCGGTTCTCACAAGGAGTTTCTGTCTCATTTTCCCTGTCGTCTTTCTCGTTTTGCGGCTGAAGTTCTGCAGAACCAACCTCCTGCCTCACAGTTATTGCGAGTACATGGCCATATCCCGGCTGGCCTGCGACGATATCTCAGTCAACCTGTGGTACGGCGTCGCCATGGCTATTTTAGCAGTTGGCTTGGACACTGTGCTCATTGCTGTGTCTTACGTGCTGATCCTCAGGGCCGTCTTCCGGCTCCCGTCCAAGGGCGCCCAATACAAGGCTCTGCGCACCTGTGGCTCCCACATTAGTGTCATCCTGATGTTCTACACACCGTCCTTTTTCTCATATTTTGCATACCGATTTGAGCGCATCATCCCAGGTTATATTCTCAATCTACTAACCTACCTCTACGTGCTCCTTCCCCCCATGTTAAACCCCGTCATTTATGGGGTGGCAACAAAAGAGATCCTGAAACGTGTGATTAAGGTGTTTTATCGGTGCTGAGCTAACAGAGGCAGTGGGAAATGTCTTGGGGCTTGAAAATTGAGGTCAGGTGTTCATGGCAACGGTTGTGATGCTGTAACTGTGGATTTTGGCTCACTGTGAAAGCCAATGGAATTTGGTGCAATAAAAAGTATTTTTTCACCCCCATTGTGCAGATTATTTCGTGGCTCTGACATGCCTAGAATGACACGGCTCATTTGCACAAAAGGCAGCCACGCCTAGAGGCTATGTCTACACTCGCGGCTTCTTGCACAAGTAATATGCAAATGACACTAAGCATGGAATATCGCCAAGCCTCATTTGCATACCTAATGAGCCACCATTTTTTTCAGAAGAGGCTCTTGCGCCAGAAGGAGCGTCTACACGGCCCCTTCTTGCGCAAGAAAAACCCTCTTGCGCAATGCCGTTCTACCTGAAAAGTAATAGGTGTAACGGCGTTGCGCAAGAGGGGTTTTCTTGCGCAAGAAGGGGCAGTGTAGACGCTCCTTCTGGCGCAAGAGCCTCTTCTGAAAAAAATGGGGGCTCATTAGGTATGCAAATGAGGCTCGGCGATATTCCACGCTTAGTGTCATTTGCATATTACTCGTGCAAGAAGCCGCGAGTGTAGACATAGCCAGAGAGTCTTCTGCTAAGGTGAAGGGAAACAGCAAAGGAAGGAAGAACAAAGGCAAAGTCACCCTGAGGGAGAGCATGGAGTGGGCCACTCCTCTGGGGCAAGCTGTATATGAGCTGAGCTCTTCAGAGGAACCGCAATGTGCAGCCGTGGGCGGGAGGGGCATGCGGTGAGCCAGGGGGCAGTGCAGGTGGGAGACAGGGGGTCTAGGCTTGGTTCTGCCGCCCACCTGCATTTCCCACTGGGATTGTTTTTCCCTCCTCTGTTCTCTCCTTGGCAAAATGAGCAGAATGTGGAGCAGCAGTGAGGGCCTGAGTCCGTCTCCTCAGGGCACAGCACCGGGACTGCATGGCAGTGGCTTTGTCTCTGCCATCACAGGCTTCCTGGGCCTAGAGACCCACAACAAGAGGACGTAGCTGGGGCAGCACTGACCCTCGCCCACTAGAGACTCTGAGAGCCAGGCCGGCCTCTGGGGAACGGCCTGATTCTGCCTCATATTCGCCATGTTTGGCCAGGCCTCAGGCCTCCTGCCAGGCCCCTGACACCAGCGCCCGTGATCCAGGCCCTCTCCCTGGTGCCTTCCTGCACCTTGTCCTTCATGGGCAGGTGTCCCCCATCGCCCTGGGGGAGCAGAATCCACGAGCTGTGGATGGGCCAGTGGGCGAAACACTGTGATGTGGTGACCTCACTTTGCCCTGCAGCCGTCCACACCCCGTCTGGGCCGTGGGCTGGGCCTTCCCGTGTAGCACTGAGGGGCAGATTGTATCGTCCTATTGGGTCTGGTCTCTGCTAATGGGCCTGGGAGTGTTCGGCCCTGGCTTTGGCTGAGGAATGCTGTTGTACGTAGGGCTCATGGTCCAGCATGGCAGAAAACTGTGTTCGGGAACCTCTTTAGCCCTTCCCTAATAATCCCCACTGAGTTTAAGAAAGGATGGGCATGATGGTGAAAAAAAAGATCTATATAAAACTAAATTAACAAACATAGTAGAGAACAAACATGCTGTGAAACGTGGAAGGCTACGGCCCAGACGGTTGCCTTGTACGATAGAGTGTTGCAAGGTATAACCGTGGCTGTTAAATATGTGGGCAGGAGTGAACAAAGGCTCCCATGACAGCCAGATGGAGAGGGAGACGCACTATTTGCTCCTGCTTTGCTGAGTTGTGTAGGTGTTCAGCTGATGGAGTGGTGTTTTGTTTTCCGTTAAAAGCATTTTCGGAACAGAGCGTCTAGATTGGCACGGACGCTTTTCCGCAAAAGCACTTTTGCCTGAACAGGAGGGCCGTGTCTAGACTGGCCAGTTTTTCTGGAAAATCAGCCGCTTTTCTGGAAAAACTTGCCAGCTGTCTACACTGGCCGCTTGAATTTCCGCAAAAGCATTGACTTCCTACTGTAAGAAATCAGTGCTTTTTGCGGAAATACTACGCTGCTCCTGTTCGGGCAAAAGTCCCTTTTTGGCATAACTTTTGCGCAAAACGGCCAGTGTAGACAGCTCAAATTTGTTTTCCGCAAAAAAGCCCCAATCGCGAAAATGGCGATCGGGGCTTTTTTGCGGAAAATCGCGTCTAGATTGGCCAAAGACGCTTCTCTGCAAAAAGTGCTTTTGCGGAAAAGCATCCGTGCCAATCTAGACACGATTTTCCGAAAATGCTTTTAACAGAAAACTTTTCCGTTAAAAGCATTTCCGGAAAATCATGCCAGTCTAGACGTAGAATAGCAGCATAGTATTTCTGCAAGAAGCACTGATTTCTTACAGTAGGAAGTCAGTGCTTTTGCGGAAATTCAAGCGGCCAGTGTAGACAGCTGGGAAGTTTTTCCGGAAAAACTGGCCAGTCTAGACACAGCCTCTTAGTATAAAGAATAAGATTTTGGGAGTGTGTGTGTAAATACAGTTCACTTCTATTTGCTTACGTCTGCTAGATGATCAACTGTTCCAATGGTGTTTTGTCTTTGGAATCTCCTGGCTTCCTGAAACCTCATGGGCCATCGTGTCAAAGCGATTCTGCCTGGTCCTGCTGTGACCAGGTGCCTAGGGGACTCATGGGGCGCACAGTCACTGCCGCGGCGCCTCCTGCTGGTAGCACTGGGAGTTAGCCTGGAGACCGGACGCCTCCCTCTGGCAGGTGTCCCGCTGTGTCCTCACATCATGCTCCTGTGCTCTGGACCCATGTCACTCTCAGACTACAGGGTCCTCTTCAGGACACTGCCCTCCTGCAGTGCCCACTCAAGTGTCTCTCAGCCCCCTTGCAGGGGGGTGGGGTGTTATCAGCCTCTGCACTCTGGGGTCCTCCCCTCCCAGGGGATCTGCCATTCCCCTAGATCCCCCTTGACTCAGTGACACTGCCCTTTCCTTCCCTCTGCTCTTAACAGCCTAGTCTAAGCAACACCCCCAAAAAATATCTGGCACGGGCCCATTGTATTGCAGACAAAAAATGTCTGGGCCCTGCAGACATGTTTCCCTCTGTCCTCTTATTCCTCCAAGCCATGTATCGGTCTCGGAAGATCGATAGCCATGCACAGGGCAGTCAAACACACTGCCCAGTGGCCTGTCTCTGTTTATTTGTCTCAGTAACACCCTGCCCTTTGAGTGCTGCAGCCGACCACTTCCAAACTTTCAGGAAATGTTCTAGCCCACACCTCTGCAATGGGCTCTAGATCAAAGTTGCGGCTGATAGATCCACATGCACCTCCCAGCATAACAAATGCCCTCATCTCAGCTTTGGCCTCCAAAGCAAAGGTTACCCCCCTGGAATGAGTCCTCTGCCAGAAAAAGGAAGAAGAGAAGAGAGAAGGGGGAAGAAATGGGTGTTCCCTGCCTTCCCTCAGAGGGGGAGACACACAATAAGCGTGTGGGGTGGGGCAGAAGGATGCCTGCAGCCCCTACTGTGTACAGGGGGCACAAACTGAAGATGCAACAAAGTGTGAGGCCTCCCCCAGTCACAGCGATTGGTGATTTATGGCTATGGAGAGAGTGCTACTCCCCGCCCCATGCTAGGCACTGAGGACATGGAGCTACCAAAACATCTGTGCTGCAGAAGGGACATGAGGCTCAACCAGCGAGTTCTCTATTTTCCAGGTGTTTTCCTTCTTCCTATTTCCCTCTTGCATGCAGGGCCCAGCCATGAAGTGTCGGTCCCAACTCAGAGCCACTGGAAGCCAGTCGCAGCCCTGAAACACTGATTGACTTAGAATTCCTTAAATGCGTGAGACTATAATTGAAAGATATCAGAGGAGTTAACAGAATCTCTTCCAGGCCACTGGCTACACAAATGTGAGTTGTTCAGGTGTGTGGGAAGAGGCAATGTCCGTCCAACAAGCCACTCAAAACTCACCCAACAACACCATAACTGACACGTCTCCCCATTCACATTCCATCCCGAGAGAATACTCGGAAGATCCTCTTGTGAATTTCCTTCATTTTCACACTGTAAACGATGGGGTTTAACACAGGGGGGACAAAGAGGTAGACATAGGACATAAGAATATGCAACAGACGAGGGGCACTTTTTCCAAACCTGTGCAAAACTGAGACAGCAATTATTGGGACATAAAAGAGCAAGACAGCACAGACGTGGGAGACGCAGGTATTCAGGGCCGTGAGGCGCTGCTCGTGGGATGCAATATTTAAAACCATCTTCAGGATCATAATGTAAGAGAGCATGATGAACAGTGAGTCTACACCATACGTGACGACAATGGCAAACAATCCATAGATGTTATTGATGGTGGTGTCAGCACATGCCAACCCCATCATGTCCGGGTGCAAGCAGTAGGCATGGGAGAGGACATTGCTTCTGCAGACTGGCAGCCGTTTAATCAGAAAGGTGGAAGGGAAGATCATGACAGTACTTTTAAATACAACAGCCAGCCCGATTCTCACGATCCTGGGGTGGGTCAAGATGGCCGCGTAGCGCAGCGGGTTACAGATGGCCACCAAGCGATCGAACGCCATGGCCACTAAAATCCCCGACTCCATGAAGGAAAAGGAGTGAATGAAAAACATCTGGGCCAGGCAGGCGTCGAAAGCGATGTCTGTGAAATGGAAGAGGAAGGTGCCGAGCACGGTGGGCAGAGTTGACAGAAACATCCCGAGGTCGTTGACTGACAACATGCAAAGGAACAGATACATGGGCTGGTGGAGACGCCGGTCTGCCCAGACAATGCAGAGAACAAGGCAATTCCCCACCACGGCAGTGACGTATAACACAACGAAGGGGATGGCGATCCAGTGGTAAACCGCCTCCTGGCCTGGGAACCCGGTCAGCTGGAACATCACAGGCTGGAAGCTGGTGCTATTGAAACCCACCATGATGAGCAGTCGCTGTCCCGGCCAGCTCCCAGCCCCTGTGTCAATGCAAAATGAATCTGTGAGTTCCCCTGGGACCAGGA